GGGTGCTGCCCCACGACCTCCACCAAAGCCCATGTAAGGAGCCAAGTCCTTAAGACCGAAGAAATATTCTCTGGGGGAAAAAATAAAACGGAAACTATACATTATATTACCATGTTAAGTGTATTTGTTGCCAGCTAGAGTGGGGATTGTGTGTGTCAATACTTGCTTTTACCAAGTATTCGAGTGTATAGTGCTGCATTGTCTTTTCATGAGGGAGAAAACTTATGTACCTTAACTTGGGTTTCTTTTGTATTTGTATCCTCTCCCTCCCTAGTTTGCGTAGCTATATGGGAAAAATGAGATTAAGGCATCTGAGTGTTTGATTAATTTGACCTGGCTAATTGGTGTTTTTAAAACGGAAACTATGAGAGGAAGGAAAAAGTGTTGTTGAATGGAGGAGCACATCGGGAAGTCACATAGACTGAGGTGTGCCTATCCCTGGACACAAAGACTAATAGAAAGTGCATGACTTCTATAGCTTTTAAGGGGATCTTTATCCAGATCCTTCATAAAATTATTTCATGAGTGCCCTAATGGTTTATTCTAGAATTCATGAATTGGAAAGTTATCGATTTAGAGGTATATGTTTATTTTAAATTTTAATTAGGAATAGATTGATAAGGACTGGCTTTGCTAGTTAGGTTTTCTAAATTTAAAATATACATCGTGTTGGGCCGGCTGAGTGGCTCAGTTGGCTAAGAGCTCGTTCAAGAGTGTAAGCTCTGAGCAAGAACAGTTCAAATCCAGGCCCGAGCTGAGCTGCCAACAGATGGCAGGATGGCTCAACTAAAAAAATACATACATATACACACACACACACATCGTGTTGGGAAACATTTTTTGTAAGTGTATTCAAAAGAATGACAGGAAGAGGGTGGAGTATTTGAGGGTAGAGATGGTCTTGTTAATTGGAGAACCCTTTAGCTGAAAAACCCAGAGGAAACTGCTGACCTTGACTTAATCATGGTCAGCATACCAATGCATGTGCTGGAATAGCTGTGGCAAATCCTGAATTTGTCAGAACACTGAACGTAGGCAAGAATGTATCCATCCTTTGGGGAGGCCCGTAAGACTTATATCTGTCCTCCTTCATTCCTCTACACTGCAAATGCTTTATTCTTAAGATTTGGAATTGGGGACGAACAGCCAAGTCGTCCTTCAAGCTTAGTTGTGGAGGCCGCAGCTAGCTCATCTGATCGCCATCCAGCTGCCAGTCGGCAGCTCATGGGTGCTCAGCTCAAGGTGCCAATATTCAATCTTAGTTGCAGGTGGGTGTAGCTCACCATCCCATGCGGAAGTCGAACAGGCAACCTTGTTAGGAGGACTTGCACCAGCTGAGTCATCCTGGCAGCTCCGCTGGGGCGCACCTCACTGGCCCATGTGGGAATTGAACCGCTACTGTGTTCCTCAAACTTGACACTAGGGGTATAGGCAAAGTATGATCTTGTCTCCAAGGATCCTACATTGAAGAACCTAACACTGCTAAGAATTGATTTAGCAGTTTTTCTCTTTGAAGATAATCCCAAACTAATCTTGGTTTTTGGAATGCCAGAGATAACTTGCACAAAAGGGCTTTCCCTGTGCTTCAGGCTCTAAAGTAGCCCCATCCCACCTGCCTACCCAGTACCATTTGCCAATAACTCAAACCAATATCTTGCCCAATGGATAATCAGGATACCTAATTTCTACCTGTGAGGAAGTTACCTGCTATGTAGGCATCCATCACCTACCCCCAAGAAGAAAGCAACATATGCTGTCAGGAGTGGCCCACAAGTTAGTTTGAGGTTCTCAAGATGTTTGGACAGCAAAATTAGTCTGTTCTGCTTAAGCTATTGTGGACTGAAGTTCAAATAGTTGGTCACAAAAAAGATCAGATGTAGACCTGAGTCCCTATCTCCCACCCAGTTTTAATGGAACTTATTTGTAGGGGAAAACTTAATTGCAGTCTTAGCATTTCCCTGACATTTTTAAAGTATTCTCCAGGCTCAATGTGTGACCAGTATTCAAGCCAGGAAGAGGCCTCTGCTTCCAGCCATTGGTTCAAGGTACACCTATGAAGTTACTGGATTTCAAGTCATTTCCCTGTAGTAAGGATTCATTGTGGTCCTGGGCTACCCTTTCCTTAAACGCCCCAAATCCTGGATTTTAATTTTTATTTGTTTAACTTTGCATAATATGCATGAAGAAAAAATTATTCATTGCCTATCACTATTTCAGTAACTATTTGGTATAGAGGTATGTCAATGTATGTATAAACAAGCTAATAGGCTTCTCGAAGAAAACAGCCAGTAGATGAAAGAACAGGCTAGGATCTAGGTTGATTCATTTGTTAAGTAAGTATTGCCCATGTACTTGCCACTTTGAGTCCAGGAAGTCCCCCATTAAGCAGACATCTGGTTAAGAACCTAAGACAGCTGACTTGAATATAAACCTCACCTCTGATACTTGGAGCTTTGTGACTTTGGGTGAGTTACCTATCTTCAATTTTCTAATCTTTAGGATGGTCATTGCTATTTCATAAGAATTTTGGTGAGGGCCGGCCGAATGGTGCGTTGGTTAAGAGTTGGCTTGGGACGCCAGCTCTGAGCAGCAGGGCCACCGATTCAGATCCCACATGAGGGCCAGTGGCTGCGCCCTCTACAGCTAAGATGGTGAGCAACAGCTCGACCTGGAGCTGGGCTGCCGTGAGTTGCTGGCAATGGCGTAGGCTGCAGTGGGGCTGGCCTGCAGCTGCCGGGAGCGCCATCCAATGGCCAGCGACCGATCTGCATCAGCCGGAAAGAGCACAGTGATCACAATACCAACATGGGCCAATTAAGCAACGTCCTCCACAACTAGACTGAAGAACAAAAGGACAGCAATTTGTCTGTTCCCCTTCCCCCAATTCCCGAGCGCTGTTTCCATCCCCCAATTCCCCAATTAAAAAAAAAAAATCTTCGAAAAAAAAGAAAAAGCAAGGCTTCAGTTGCTAAATTTAAGTAAGCTAAGGGGAAAGTTCAGGTCTACAATCCTTTATATGAAATCCTTGAGATCTTATTTGTTTTGGAGTTTTTTACTTTAAAACAATAATACAGGGCTGGCCCAGTGGCTCAGTTGGTTAACAGTTGGCTTAAGAGCACGAGCTTTGAGCAACAGGGCCGCCGGTTCAATTCTCACATGTGCCAGTGACGCTGCGCCCAAGCTGAGTTGTCGCTGAGCTGCCAACAGGTGGCAGGATGGCTCAGCTGGTGTAACAACAAGATTGCCTGTTTGATGGTGGGCTATGCCCACCCGCAACTAAAACTGAACTCAGCACCTTGAGCTGAGCTGCTGCCCCGATGGCTCAGTGGATAGGGCGTGTGCTCTTAACAACAAGGCTGCCAGGTTGGACTCCCGCACGGGATGGTGGTTATGCCCACCCACAACTAAGACTGAACTTGGCACCTTGAGCTGAGCTGCCGCCCCGATGGCTCAGTGGATAGGGTATGCATGCTTAACAAGGCTGCTGGTTTGACTCGCGTGTGGGATGGTGGCTACGGCCACCCGCAACTAAGATTGAACACAGCACCTTGAGCTTAGAGGCCACGAGCTGTGGATGGGAAACCAGATGGTGACTGCTGCCCTCTACAACGAAGATTGAATAACAACTTGGCTGGTCCCCTTGCCCAGTTCTCCAACACTGTTCTCCTCCCCCAATTCCCCAATAAAATCTTTTTTAAAAAAAGACTAATACTTACTTAAAAAAATAGTAATACAGAGATACTGTTTAATATATAACATTCTCAAAAGGATCTGGAGCAGCATCTAGGATCAAATATGAATATTTCTGAAGCAAAATATAAGAACAGTCATGTTAAATGGAAGAAATAAGGACTATAAATTACCTAACGTGAGTTTCATGCCAGGTTTTGCTACCACATGAGTGCCAAAACTTGATTTTTAGAGCTGTTTTTTCAGTTGCAGACAAGGGATTGTGCACCAATGGTACACAAAGTTGGAGAAGACAGGTCCAGATCACCTGGGCCTTGTAGGCCCTGGTAAAGGCTCTGGAGTTCACTGGAAGTGTGATGGTAAACAATGAGATACCACACCCTTTAAGGTGGCTATCAAGATAGTAACAAGTGCTGATGATGTGGCGAGGTTGGAATCCTTGGAATCCTTATACGCAGCTTGTGGGAATGTAAAATGGTGCAACCACTTGCAAAAACAATCTGGCAGTTCCTCAAAAAGTTAAACAGAGAGAGTTTAACTATATAAACTAGCCATTCCACTCCTAGATACATGCCCAAGAGAACTGAAAACAGCCACATAAAGACTTGTACATGAATGTTCATAGCGACATTATTTATAATAGCCAAAAAGTAGAAACAACCCAAATGTCAACTCATGAATGGATAAATGTGGTATACCCATACAATGGAATATTATTTGGCCATAAAAAGAATGGAGTTTTGCTACATGTACATTGATGAACCTTGAAAACATACTAAGGGAAAGAAGCTAGTCATAAAAGACCATATATTGCATGATTGCATTTATATTAAATGCCCAAAATAGGCAACTATAGAGACAGAAAGTAGATTAGTGGTTGCCTAGGAATGGAAAGGGTGGGTCTGGGGAAAAGGGGAGTGACTGTTAAATGGTATGGGATTTCTTTTAGGGATAATGAAAATATCTCAAAATTGATTGTGGTGATAGTTGCACATTTCTTGAACATATTAAAAACCACTGAATTTTACACTTTAAGTGTGGTATGTAAATTGCCATATTTCCCTATGTATAAGACGCACCCTTTTTCGAAAAATTTGGGGTCTAAAAACTGGGTGCATCTTATACAGTTGTTGTAGTTTTCTTTACTTGCATTTCCCACTTTTTCGCGCTTGTTGTCTTTGTGCTCATTGTTTCGCACTTCTTACCGGTATATTAGGTTACGTTTTGCCACGTTCTGCTCAGAAATGGCTCAGAAAAGATTTTTGTACAGTGCTGAATTCAAGTTAAAAGTGATCCAATTTGCAAAAGTGAATGGAAATTGTGCTGCTGAACGTAAGTTTGGTCCTCCTCCAACTGAGAAAATAATCCGAGACTGGCTATGGTTGGGAGTTTTGACAGTGATGAGGAGTTGTAT